CTGTTACTTCCTTGCCGTCTTCTCTCTTTAGTGGCTGATTGTTTCCTTGATTTTTTTCTTGTTATTTATATGTTGGAAAAAACTTTTTTTTTGTTATCTTTGACTTTTGCTGCAAGTCTTTGTTCATTCTGAGCCTTTGCTTTCCTGACTTCGTCTTTGCAGATTCTGGCTGCTATCCTGCCTTACTGAAGCATACTGAAACAATCAGTATGTTTAGTTAATTGAGGCTGAAAATTTCAGAAAGAGTCTGTTTGTTTGTTTGTTTGTTTGTTTGGTTAGTTAGTTAGTTATTACAAATGCTTCTAATGCACTTCAATGATAATGACTCTAAATCAGTGATGGGCAACTACAGCCTGTGGACTTTCTGATTTGTGGACTTTAACTCCCAGATTTTCATGAAGTCCACAGGTGGTAAGTTGACATAGCTGTCCACCCCTACTCTAAGTGATAAGTTGGTGCAGTAGCCTAACATATACATGCAAAAAATGCACTCATACAGTTGATCTCTCAAATCTTTCAGATTATGTACACTGTTTTCTATTAAACGTTTTCTGTTAATTTAAGATTTTTCTTATAAAAATGCATGAATTCTATTATTTTAAAGCATAAATATCAGTTACATGTTGAAGGAGCATTTTCCAGCTTACAAAAGGCTGGCAAAATGGAGTACAGTAGTCCTCAACATACAACCATAAATGGAGCTTGCTCATCATGGCTGTATTTCCTAACAATCATAAAAAAGATAAGATCATGCTGGCTGGGGGAATTCTGGGAGTTGAAGTCCACACATCTCAAAGTTGCTGATGTTGAGAAACATTGAACTAAGCTAGCCACTTCCTTGTCTTTTTCCTAGTCACCTTCCCACCTTGGTTTCTCTGGGTCTATTTCCCTCAGTGGAGTGGAGTCCCCTAGATTTGCACTTGCCTCTACATCTGTTCTGTGTAACACACAACACACCTTTTGTATCTTCTCCAAATTAGGTTTTGTTCATTTCTCTCACTAATTCCAGGTTTCTTGCAAGCTGCCCTTTTTCTGTTAAGAAGCCCCTTGTCTCTCCCTGTGATCAAATTACTTTACAGTTTTCTCCATTTATTTTTACACACATGAGCTCTTTTTTACATCCTGGTAATTGCAAGCCCTGGGCTCCAGCTTCCTAACACACAAGATATTTCCTTTCCTCTAATACCAAACTTCTACTGCTTGTACCATTTCCCCCACTCCTCCCATTTTACTGCAACCTGCTGGGCTATACCATCAGTAAATTAAAACTAATATTTCAGGAATCTGTGGGCAAGTGATGTGCCATCTGGGCTTGGGATTCAGAATGGGAGAACTCCAGGGATCTATTTTCAACAAAGTTAAGGTTTTTTTCTTATCCAGATACTGCTCATTTATTCTCTCCATAATATATTTAAATTTTTCAGTCACCCAACCCTGAGCAATCGGGATGAATAAAAATATTATAAAACAAATTAAAATTAGTCATAAACAGCAGCCAAGAAAACCATACTATAAAAATTCAAATTATACTAAGTGAATGCCACCCACTGTTTGCTTACCACTAAAGAGAGAAAACAAATTCAAGCAAAATGTCTTTGCAGAACTTTAAGAAAATATTCAAGTGTATTGTCTGGCAGGTTGCCAGAGGAAAAGAGTTGTACTATCACATAATTTCCAAGTCGTATATTCACATAAGCACTAGGAGTCTATAGCTGCAGAAAACAAAGCCTGGGCATGGTAATTTGGCCATGAATACTCCACTAGTCAAAAAGAGGGCTGTGAAAATATTTACTAGACATCCTGGACATTAACTGTTTCAACTCCTACCCTCAAAATGACACTATAGAGGACTGCACATCAGAACAACTAGAGACAAGAACAGTTTTTTCCTGAACGCCATCACTCTGCTAAATAAATAATTCCCTCAACACTCTCAAACTATTTACTAAGTCTGCACTACTATTAATCTTCTCATCTTCTCATCGTTCCCATCACACATCTCCTTCCACTTATGACTGTATGACTGTAACTTTGTTTCTTGTATCCTTACGATTTATATTGATATTGTTTCTTTATACTTATTTGTACCCTATGACTATCATTAAGTGTTGTACCTTATGATTCTTGATGAACATATCTTTTCTTTTATGTACACTGAGAGCGTATGCACAAAGACAAATTCCTTGTGTGTCCAATCACACTTGGCCAATAAAAAAATCTATTCTATTCTATTCTATTCTATTCTATTCTATTCTATTCTATTCTATTCTATTCTATGAAGGTTTGGCATTTGACCAGCAATGTGCATTTTTAATCATTTTCAGAATTTGAGCTGATTTGACACATCTGCACCGCCTGAAAGTCCATATATAATATATGCCTTATATTTAGTGCCTTAATTTAAGAATGTTGAGGTCAAAGCTACGTGTTCTATAGAAAATTTTTTAACAGAAATATCAGAAGTTCCAAGAATGATAAATGGTATAAATTGGCCTTATATACATATATGACAATTCTCTACCAATGCAGATGACAGCAAGTACAGTGCAGTGCCTGATCCTGGAATAACATCCTCTTAGAAAGCTTGGACTTCCCTACAAGCCTTTAGACATTTTAAAAAAAAAATCTGGGGTTTTCCCCAAACTCTTCGAATAATCTGGTGGTACGGTATGCTCATCTGCTGGTTTTGATTATGCTATGTGCTTCGCCTGTTAGGTGATGTTCTTTGAGATGGTCATTTTTATGTATTGTACTGGTTTTAATTGTATGCCACTCATAGTGGGCTTTAAGGGTTGTTTTGGGGGGGTGGGGAAGTTGTCTTCAATTGAGTATTGACTTCTGGCAACTGCCCAGACTAGTCTCTGCAGTTTTCCTGACAAGATAACACAAGTGATTGCCTCCTTCCTAGGGATGAGCAAGAATAGCTGGCCCAAGAGCACCTACCTGAGTTCATGCCTAAAGCTGGAGTAGAATTCATAATCTCCTTCTTTTTAGCCTGGTGCCTTTACCATTACAGGTACTCCTTGACTTACAACTGTTTGTTTAACAGCAGTCTAGAATTACAGTGGCCTCAGAAACGGTACTCTGTGGTCCACAAAGGACTACTGTCCATCACAAAATGTTGTACTACCAACCCATCCATGTTTGTTTAAGTTATATTTCACATTTCTGACCCCCCCCCCATCTCCCTCAAAACCTTCAGCCAGCCAGCTACGTTCAAGGGCTGTTTGTTCCTCACTTTTGCATTCATGCCTCCATAGGGTCCCAAGAGGCTTGTAAAACACAGCAGCATGTTCTTCTAGTTCTGCATTGTTTCTAATACATTAATTCTCCACTTACAACCACAATTAGGACCAGAATCTTGCTTGTTGAGGAAAGATCCCACATAACACTTCACTCAACAACTACAGCCCTGGCTCTCCCAGTTATGGTCCACTAGAGAGAACAATCACGAGAACGCTGACATTTGCTAGCATTTTTGCCAGTTTTGAGGTCCGTTCTTCCAGTACGCTGAGGGATTTTCCTCCTCCCTTCCAGAAAAAGGCTCAAAACGATCAGAAAGGCTCAGAAGATTGGCATTTACTACCAATTTGTTCTCTTCTTCAGTCTTTCTGAGCCTTCTGGACAGGAGGGGAAAACACTAGTTTAGAATGCTGGTGTTCCCTAGCATTTGTGCCAGATTTGAGGTCCATTCCTCCAGTTCATAGCAATAGCACTTAGACTTATATACCGCTTCACAATGTTTTACAGTCCTCTCTAAGCAGTTTACAGAGTCAGCATATTGACCCCAAAAATCTGGATGCTCATTTTACTGGCCTCGGAAAGATGAAAAGCTGAGTCAACCTTGAGCTCGTGAGAACTGAACTGCTAGCAGACGGCAGAATTAGCCTGCAATACTGCATTGTAACCACTGCATCACCACAACTCTTTTCATAGAATTTCCCCCTCTGTATGGAGAGGAGGGGAAACCCCTCAGCATGCTGGGGAAACAGCCCTTTAAATCCAACATCCCCTCCTCTCACAACCTTCCCCACTGAACTGATTTTCTGAGGAAGCCAGCAAAGCTTGCAAATGGAAATCACATGATCATAGGACACTTTGCAATGGGTTCTGACTACCAACAGGTTGCCAAGAGCCAGAAATACAGGCATATGACCAAGGTAGCACAATATTTTACAATGGCTGGAAGTGTTTGTAAAGCACCCATTTTAAGGCCACTGTGATTGAGAACAGTTAAATGACTGGTCATAAGTCACAGACTATCTGTACTATAACATAAAAGATCATTTCCTGGTTAGAGCATGAAGCTAATCACCTCCTTCTGTGTTAATTTTTGAATGGTATCATTCAATTTTTATCACGAATAATAAAGATAGGATTCTCTGCCATTCATCCACTTAACTTCCCTTTCAGTGTGTAATGGTGAGAAGTGAGGAGTAGCATCTCCAAGGAATTACTGAGGACTACCAAAACTTCCCTAAAGTATCTCCTCCATTTGCTTTTGCAGCTTTCAACTAGAAAACACTTAATTCATACATAGTAAAAACCTTGGCTATCCTTATCATGGTCTCCTTTGCCATTCCTTCACATTCACACGTTTACTGGGCAGCAGCCATTCCTGCAGAAGCTGAAAATAAATGGCATTTCTTTCTCCACTTTCCCACAATGGGAGGGAGATAGATTTATTCAGCCTTTATTCAGCCAACACTCTTGAACTCCCAGGAGGAAAAAAAAAAACAGATGCTTAAATCGACAAGGAGCGGCTGGAGTTCCCGTCAAGTCTCCCTGGGAAAATCCCAAAATATAAGGCTGCCATATCTAAGCTGCAAAAAAACAGAACAGAGGGAAGGAAAGAGTTTTCCTATCATTTTACTGCCACCTAGGGAACCGCTGCTTTAGTGCATCCGAGATGGGTTATCCAGAAATGCAAATAACGTTTCATCAAGGAGAGAAAAAGTATCCTCCCCGACTCTGCCAAAGATTGTGGAAGGAAGAGGAAAAAAATAGCAACCGGGATGACTCGAACGCCTCCAAACGCCCATTCTTCTGAAAAGCAAAGAGCAGCATCGCATCAGCCGCCGGGTGGGCGGTGCTTGGCTTCCAGGGCAACCGGAGAGAAGCGAGGCGCATGCGCACACCATCCACTTTCTGCCAACCGCCAGCGGCAGCTGCGGCCGGTGCCGTTCGCCATGTTGATGCTGGGCAGGGGGCTGGACGCCAGGTAACGGGTCGCGGAGGGGCAAGAGGGGCTTCCGGTCTGCAGGAGCCCGCTCGGGTGCCACGCTCCCTGTCGTGGGGTGTGTGCTTGCCCCGGAATGGAGGGTAGCGTTGTACGGGTACGGCGTTGAAGGAGAAGAGGGGGCTTGGGTTTGGCTTCCGGAAGAAAAGGCCTGTCAGCCTAAAAGCCCCCTTCCTCATCTCGATCAGGGCATATGGGAATGGTAGTCCAGCGCGTGCTTTAGGGCAGGGATGGGAGAGCTATGGCCCTTTTATGACTTGTGGACTTCAACTCCCAGAATTCCCGAGCCAGGACTTGCTGGCACAGGATTTCTGGGAGTTGAAGTCCATAAGTCATAAAAGGGCCATAGCTCCCTATCCCCGCTTGGGCGGGAAACGCTGGAGGCTGTCTCGGCATCCGCGCTCTGATCCTGAAAGGAAAGAGGCGCGCGAGGCCCTCAGAAATAGCGCTCCCTCCTTTCCCATCGTCCGGGTCCATCACCGGCGTGGCAGCGCGCTCGGGGACTCGCCTTTTGGGCGAGAAGCGGCCGTGTCCCCTCATTCAAGTTCCCCCGGCTTCTCTCCCTGGGCACAAAAGCCGTTGGGATCGATTTTTGATCAATGAACTGAAATCCGCCTGGCTGTGTCCCTCCCATATACATACACCAAAAGGGCGAGCGAGAGGAGCCGTTTGCCTTTAGGACACGATTTCAATAAACTGGTCACCTATGGTCGTGTTAGATTTTCCTCAGCAAAAACGATGTGATAAACAAAGGGGATTATGTCCCTTGCCTTTTATACATACTTGCCTACTGCAGGGAAGTATTATTTATTCTCTATGACGTGTTTAACTAATGAGTTGCTTTTCCTAAAAACAGTTGCTTTCATGTTAAGGATAACTTCCTATCTATCCATCCATCTTTATATGTCCCTTGCCTTTTGCAAGCCACTACTGCAAGGAAGTATTATTTATTCTCTATAATGTGTTTAATGAGTTGGTTTTCCTAAAAGCAGTTGCTTTCATGTAGGTATAACTTACTTATTTACATTTATTATAGCCAGCAATTCCCCTCCACTTAGGGCAGCATACACATACAAAACAATAAAAAGAGTTAAAAACATGCAATCTCGCAGACAGTCCTGATTAAAACAATAAACTAACCCAGGGCCTGCATCTGAACAGCTGAACCCCAGGCCTAATACCAAATCCTGTCTTAAATACTTTTGGGAAGGCTAGGAGAATGCAGCATAGTTTGATAGCCTATATATGCTATTCTAGCAAAACTAGGTGGTTGTTTTTCAGGAAGCTCCACAAACAGGTTAGCAGCCAGTGGAGGCCTGGGGAATCCCAAGGGGCAGAGGAAGCAGGTCAGCAGAAGCGACTGGCACACTGAGGGCAGTTGCAGTCTGTAGGCAGAGTCTTATTTCCCATCCAGTCACCCAAGGTGATCATAAATCAAGATTTATCTGTATAGGTTCAATTTCTATTCAGATTTAATGGACACTCAGGTCTAACAAATGTTGCTTCCCCCATGTCTGTTGAAAGTTTGCTGGTATTGTTGGATGTGTTTATAATTTTCAACACTATCCTTTGCCTTTATTAACTTAACTCTCCTTTTTTAAATAGGGATAACCAGACCAAGCAAATACGGGAAGCTGTTTCAAACGTGGAAAAACATTTTGGTGAATTATGCCAAATATTTGCAGCATATGTACGAAAAACTGCCAGGCTACGAGACAAAGCAGACCTTTTAGTAAATGAGATACATGCTTATGCAGCTACAGAAACCCCAAATTTAAAGTTTGGATTGAAAAATTTTGCAGATGAGTTTTCCAAGCTTCAGGATTATCGCCAAGCAGAGGTATAAATTTATGTTCATGTATTTTCTTATGTCAGTACTCAAATTTTAAATGTTTGCATGTTATGACCATGATAATAAATGAATTACATTTATTAGAGCTATTGGAATCCAATACCATAGAGTGAAACTTACCCATAAACAGAACTTTCAATCTTTTGATAATTTCTGATGTAGTCCCTCTGATTCGTTCCAGAATAAATTTGCAGAGAGAGAATTAAACCCTTTTTTCAGTATATTAAGAAAATACCCTAGTAAGGGTTTGTGGGTTTAAGTTGTATTTGAATGTAATCTTTCACTTTACAAGATGATTAGCAAATTAATAATTGTATTTTAAACTAAATGATGAGTATGCTAATAAATATGTCATTAGATTTCTTTATTTCAGAGCAAGGGTCTTTTTTCCTCTGCTATTTCCTTCTTGATTATTTTCTATATTTCAGATTCACTGAAAGTAATGGGAATTTATGCAATGAAAAATTCTAGAATGATTCATCATGACCTCTTTTTATAGGTGGAAAGACTTGAAGCTAAAGTTGTTGAACCTCTGAAATGTTATGGGACCATCATAAAACTTAAAAGAGTATGTGACAGACTTTGTTTCCCTTTTTCATGTTTTAAGGTACAGGTAGTCCTCAATTTATGACCACAATTGAGCCCAAAATTTCTGTTAAGTGAGACATTCATTAAGTGAATTTTGCCCCATTTTATTTATTTATTATTTATTAGTCCAATTTATATGCCACCCTTCTCCATAGACTCAGGGCGGCTTACAATGCATTATAGCAATAGCCTGCATACTTTTATGTATATACCTGCTTATTAGGGCTTTCGGCCCCCCCAAGCGGTGTTGTTCTATACAAAGGTGGCTTATTGCCCCCACAATCCGGGTCCTCAATTTACGTACCTCGAAAGGATGGAAGGCTGAGTCAACCTTGAGTCTGGTGAGATTTGAACTCGCACTAATTGCAGGCAGCTGGCAGCTAAGTGCTAGCACTTAACAGCACTTAGTCCACTGCACCACCGAGGCACCCTTACAACCTTTCTTGCCACAGTTGTTAAGTGAATCACTATTGTTAAATTAGTGACATGGTTGTTAAGTGAATCTGGCTTTCCCCCATTGACTTTGCTTGTTAAAAGGTCACAAAAAATGATAACATGATTCTGGGACACTGCAACTATCACAAATATGAGTCAGTTGCCAAGTGTCCGAATTTTGATTACATGACCATGGGGATGCTGTAATGGTCATAAGTGTGAAAAACGGTCATAAGAGACTTTTTTCAGTATAATTGTAACTTTGATCGGTCACTAAATGAACAGATGTAAATCGAGGACTATCTGTACTTCTTCTCTAAGAACCTGGTGTTTCTAGTCTTTCTTAATTCAAATAATCAAATCTTAAAATCTATAAAAGGCCATGTAATTAAAATTCTGCATGTTTAGATATTGAAAACTGGCAATATCCAGGAACTTTGAAATTCAAAAGCATATATTTACACAAAAATACATTTAACACAGGAAGCATACATATATAATCATAATTTCATTTGTTCTTCCAAACCTTTATATAAATATACTGAATATTAAATCAAAAAAAGGTTTACTATTTCAATATTTTCTGTTATATACTGTTGTATGGCGATCTTGGAAAAAATAGATAACATAGATTTGCTAGTTTGCTTGCATGACAAAGAGAGGGTTGGGGCTGCATTCATGAGTAAAAAAGGCTTATTCATATTTTGTCTTATTAAATCAAAACCTGGATGGAATACAGTAAGTGTTTTCTTACAAAAATTGTTTCTACAAATTGCATTAGCTATTCAAATTCAGTTGCTTTAAAGTGGATAAACTCTCATGAAATTTATGTGTCAGTACCTTCCAGATCAGAAGCAACAGGCCTCTAGATCAGACTAGTCATTTTATGGCTCAAAGACCACATCTGGCCCTTTGGTTGTCCCTGTCTGGCCGTCGGCAGGGAGGCAAGGCATTGGCATCAGTGGGGCCACCGGGGGGGGGGGCTCCATACCAGTTTCTCATGTGGCCCTTTGGGGAAAGTGGCCCCTTGCTCATCTCTGCTCTAGATACCAATAGCTGAAGATCCAGTTATGATAAATGGCTGTTTCCCTCATCTGTTGTCCAAGACTTTGGAAAACAGGATGCTGGAAAAACAAAAGGTACCTAGTAGTTCACCCTAAAGCAATTCTAAAAAATTGGGGAAAATGCTTTATCGAAAAGCAATAACCTCAACCTCTCATTATCATTTAATCAATAGCCTAAGCAAATGCCTTAGAATGCCACAAAAATTTAAATAATTAGAAACCTCTTTTTAAAAAACATACTTTTTGAAATGCCTACAATATGTTTGCAGGAGGATCTCAAAGCAACTTTAACAGCGAAGAACAGAGAAGCAAAACAATTATCTCAACTGGAGAGAACCCGTCAACGAAATCCATCTGATCGGCATATTATTGTATCCTTTGCACACATACTTATTTAAAACTTTATGTGCAATAGTTAAACTGTTGAAAAAGATTGGTACATGTAAAAAATCAAGTACAATTTCTTTTACATTGTTTTCCTAAAATTCCTTAGTTTACAAGCAGCTACATTGATTATCCAGCAATTAAAAGTAATTACCTGCTTATGGGATTCACTTTCTTTGCTCCCTAATTTGTTATAGTTTCAAGATTTACTAAAAAGCAAACGGTATCAATAATTTCTGTCTGATAAACTAGAAACTTGATGAGTTGTTATATAGAAAGAATTATTTAAATATCAGAAATACTGCTGTAGTATTTTCTATAACTTAAAACATATTCCTTTACTGTTAATACCTTCAGTCGCAGGTAAGTCTTATGTCTGAAACAATAGCATAAGATCTATTGACAATTATGTTTTTTGTATTTATAATTGTTCCACCAGTAAGATAAAAATAAGTTATATATACCTACATACAGTAGGGCAAAAAAGTATTTAGTCAGCCACCAATTGTGCAAGTTCTCCCACTTAAAAAGATGAGAGAGGCCTGTAATTGTCATCATAGGTAGACGTCAACTATGAGAGACAAAATGAGAAAACAAATCCAGACAATCACATTGTCTGATTTGGAAAGAATTTATTTGCAAATTATGGTGGAAAATAAGTATTTGGTCACCTACAAACAAGCAAGGTTTCTGGCTCTCACAGACCTGTAACTTCTTAAGAGGCTCCTCTGTCCTCCACTCATTACCTGTATTAATGGCACCTGTTTGAACTTGTTATCAGTATAAAAGACACCTGTCCACAACCTCAAACAGTCACTCTCCAAACTCCACTATGGTGAAGACCAAAGAGCTGTCAAAGGACACCAGAAACAAAATTGTAGACCTGCACCAGGCTGGGAAGACTGAAATTGCAATAGGCAAGCAGCTTGGTGTGAAGAAATCAACTGTGGGAGCAATAATTAGAAAATGAAAGACATACGAGACCACTGATAATCTCCCTCGATCTGGGGCTCCACGCAACATCTCACCCCGTGGGGTCAAAATGATCACAAGAACGGTGAGCAAAAATCCCAGAACCACACGGGGGGGACCTAGTGAATGACCTGCAGAGAGCTGGGACCAACATAACAAAGGCTACCATCAATAACACACTATGCTGCCAGGGACTCAGATCCTGCAGTGCCAGACGTGTCCCCCTGCTTAAGCCAGTACACGTCCTGGCCCGTCTGAAGTTTGCTAGAGAGCATTTGGATGATCCAGAAGAGGATTGGGAGAATGTCACATGGTCAGATGAAATCAAAGTAGAACTGTTTGGTAGAAACACAACTCGTCGTGTTTGGAGGAGAGAGAATGCTGAGTTGCATCCAAAGAACACCACACCTACTGTGAAACATGGGGGTGGCAACATCATGCTTTGGTGCAAAGGAACCAGGACGACTGATCCGTGTACAGGAACGAATGAATGGGGCCATGTATCGTGAGATTTTGAGTGCAAACCTTCCATCAGCAAGGGCATTGAAGAGGAAACGTGGCTGGGTCTTTCAGCATGACAATGATCCCAAACACACCACCCGGGCAATGAAGGAGTGGCTTCGTAAGAAGCATTTCAAAGTCCTGGAGTGGCCTAGCCAGACTCCAGATCTCAACCCCATAGAAAACCTTTGGAGGGAGTTGAAAGTCCGTGTTGCCCAGCGACAGCCCCAAAACATCACTGCTCTAGAGGAGATCTGCATGGAGGAATGGGCCAACATACCAGCAACAGTGTGTGCCAACCTTGTGAAGACTTATAGAAAATGTTTGACCTCTGTCATTGCCAACAAAGGATATATAACAAAGTATTGAGATGAACTTTTGATATTGACCAAATACTTATTTTCCACCATGATTTGCAAATAAATTCTTTCCAAATCAGACAATGATTGTCTGGATTTGTTTTCTCATTTTGTCTCTCATAGTTGAGGTCTACCTATGATGTCAATTACAGGCCTCTCTCATCTTTTTAAGCGGGAGAACTTGCACAATTGGTGGCTGACTACTTTTTTGCCCCACTGTATACTAAGATCAGTAGTAGTAGATTTTCTTTGAAGAGCTCTTTCTTTAGAAGGCAAAAAAGAGTTTGGTAGCATGTTTTCTGACTAATATACATTATTAAAATTCGTAAGTTAGCTAGCTAAATTGATTTTTGATAATTAAAGTTAATGACTAGTATTGGCATAAAGCATATTGCATAGCTAATTTAATTAGGTATACAAAAGATCCAAACTACATCTTCATATTACCCTACAGAATTTGGTCACATTTTAAAAAAATCATCATTTAAGTCCTAACGTATTATTTGTAAATAAAACTGATTAGAATGACCAGAGTTAGGAGTAAACAATTCATGGTCGGTTTCAGTGGCTTGTTCATTGCATGGGCACTATCTAGATTTAAATGGAATGTTCTTATGGTATTTTAAACTTTATTTTTTATTGTTTTATTTCCTAAGGATATAAAGATGGGTTATCTGTAGTATAAATAAAAATTAAACATTAAATAAACTCAAAATACTAAGAAAAATATTACTCCTAAAGTTAAAACTACTACAGCAGCAAATCAGCTTAACGTCCATAAAACATTTGAATTAAGTTTTAGGAATGAAAGACTGAAAGAATAGTGCTTTATCAGCACATCTATTGCAAATAATGTTTCCAGTAAATATTTTAAGTTATAGGTGAGAAAAATAGAAACATTTTCCCATCTATATCTTAGACATCTTTAGAAACATTTTCCCAAGGATCCTAAAGCTACAGCTGGCTCATGGTAAAACTGAGTCCCACTTCCAGTAGGGATTTATGGTTAATGGGTACTTAATATTCAGAAGAGAGCTTAAAAGGTTACCATTTTAAAAAGGCTGTTCCTAGATCAGTTTGACTGTTTAATGATTTCCCCAATAGAGCATACTTAATTTGATTAAGAAATCAAGCTTTTCCAATTGTGAGGGTGGAGGTTCATTCTCCAAGCTTGTGGGTTGTTTTCCAAACATTTCATTATCAGGCTCATCCTACACCCAAACTACAGATACTCGCCACTTTTCCAATTCTGCTAATGCTGATTATGTACAATATACTAGTGTAGATCCACTAGATAAATTTTTGCAATCACTGCTGTCTACAACATCTTTCATACTTACCATATAGTTACCTAAAACAGCAATGAAACATTTTTAGAGCTGTATTTTCTATAAGGTTTATAGTACTTTCCAAATTGTGAGAAATATATAATTTATTTAAGAGTATACTATCTAGGGGCTATCGATACAGCAGTATGCTTTCTCAGGCAGTTTATCTAATATTTTTTAAATAGAACATTGGAAAACATCTGTTGTAGGAAAAAAATCATTTTATTTTTAAGGCTGAAAGTGAATTACAGAGAGCCTCTCTGGATGCAACTAGAACAAGTCGGCAGTTGGAGGAAACAATTGATAATTTTGAAAAACAAAAAATAAAAGATATTAAGGTAAGTATGTAATTCTGGTACAAAGCAATACAGATAGTGGGGTTTGCGGACTGTTTCTGAAATGGGAACAAACCTCTCCACACATTTAATGAACTTGCAAATGGATGAGCCAAGTTGGTTAGCCTCCATATGATGAGGACCCTAGAAAGGATATAATTCCTGCTTTTATTTTTAAAATTGGCATGTTCAACTTTAGTGACAGAATTCAAATTACATTCACTAAATAATTAAAACTGGCAGTTTTTAAACAATCATAGTGCATGTCAGCGATACAGTTTAGCCCCAGCAAATTGCTGCTTCTGTTAAAATATCTCATTTACAGTGAAGAACAACACTGCTCAGATTTATTACTGAATTTGCTCATACTAAAATTACAGAATTTAATTCTGCAATTAGTATTTGAATAGATTAACATCAAAATGTATTAATTCTAAGGAACAGGCAGTTTCTTTAGTAAATAAATGAAATCGGAACTCGGTACTTAACACTGAGCCAGATACTAGGATGTGTGGAAAAAAATAATGCTCAGCTGGTCCGTGCTGTTACATTTCACATAAGAAACCTTCAAACAAAAAAGTGTAGAAGAACTTTTCCCAGTTGAAGTCAGGAAAGAACAAGTATTCTAGTCAACTGTTCAGGAATAAGTTGTGGCTGCACTGATCTCTTTTAGACAGATACTAATCAGCCTGTACAACAGGCACCAATTATACAAAGATTGTTACAAACTGTAAATTGAACATAAGTTTTTTTTTTCAAGCATAGTGAATTTTCTAGTTTTGATAGTGATGGCTCAATTATTGCCACAACTGTCATAAATCAAGAGATAGATAAATGTATATATAATAATCTACCCTTTATTTTTAGAACATACTTTCAGAATTCATTACAATTGAAATGTTATTTCATGGAAAAGCCTTAGAAATTTATACTGCTGCATTTCAAAATATACAAAATATTGATGAGAATGAAGATTTAGAGGTAAGAGACCAAATGCATCTTTGGTAAAGTTGTAGTCAGTTGGTTTTGTAGCATATTACAGTTTTAAAAGTTAGCTGTTGCAAAATAATTTAATATTTAAATAATATTTTATTGGATAATTGAATATATTTAAAAATGTATATGCTTCTATTCAACAAACAAAAACCTCAAGGAGTAATTATAGTCTATATATTTTAAAGCAGACAAAAAATTAGATTGAATAAGCAACAGGAAGGCTTCCCATTCTTGCTCATTCTGTCCATAAATAAAGAGATGCAATTTATTAAATCTATTTTATCAAATAAAAAGTAGATTTGGTGATAGGAAACAATAGATTTATATTTACTGTCTTCCTAATTTCAACTTTTTAAAAATGTAATGTGCCTCCCTAAATTGTTATGAGAAGGAATGTGTTGAAATAATTTTTGCTGATTTAAGTGTTGGCCAGCTGCTAGCACTTCGAAGTAAGTTTTTTTTTTTTTTTTGCAACATGGAAGGCAAGTAAATAAGCCTTTTTAACTTAAAATTCTTCCGCATCTAGAAGTTGGGATATAACAAGCCAGGCATAGGGAACATAAATTCTGCCAAAATTTCTTTAACTGTTTTTAATAATTTAAAACCAAATGCCTTTCAAAAAAATAGATTTCTAGTTTTTCTCTTCAGTACTGAAGAGATAAAGGAAACTTCAGTTATACAAGCTCTCCTGCTTGACCTGCACATACTAATCAATATCCAGATTTTGGACTGATGTTCATCTCTGGTAACATATTTTCAGAAGAGATGAGCTGATATTGTTCAGCTTCCTCTCTTTGAAGCCATTTACAGTACATCCTAGAATCCTACTTTGATTTACACCAGTCTCTTCAGATTAAAATGTGGTCTACTGGGAGTATCCAAGAAATTATGTGTTGAAGTGATGTTTGTATCACTTAAATCAGCATAGTACTTAGGTAATCATAACTTCCTGAGAAATAGTGTGCCTCAGAATTGCTGCATGCATTCCAAATCTCACTATCAACATTTAAGTTTTATTAACAGGTATTTCGGAGTTCACTTTATCCACCAGAACATCAAACCCGTTTGGATATTGTTCGTGCAAATTCTAAATCTCCCCTTCAGAGAACTGGTTCTTCCAGAACGTGTACTGGAATAGTTCAGGTAAAAAAAAAAGTTTTTAAATGTTTTTGTTACTAAGCAGCTACAATGTTTTAATATAGTCTTTCCAAATAATCTATCATCTCTAACTAGAAATCTATTAGATATCAAATTGTTTGAACACCTGCTTTTCTTGCCAATTCAGTAAAGTTAAAAATGAATTTATAAAACCTTTTATTTCTAACAGCGAATACACATGCTCAGATGTGTAAATCATTTATGAAATATTACACATAATCAGATGTGTAAATCATTTATGAAAACCTTATTAGGGATAATAGTGGAACTTATTTTAAAGGGCTTTTTAGTACCATTTTCAAATATTGAGGCTAGCATTTATAATAACAGCTGTGTGAAAATACAATATGTTTTGGACTAAAAGCCGATTTTTAAATTTGAAAGCTTACGTGCCAATTTATTTTTGCATCTTATATGTATTTGTTCATTTTGGAAAATCTGGCTGAAAATACTTCCATTTGTAAGCCATTAAATATAATTCAGAAAGATAGTTGATGTGTAGGATAGTCTGCCAACAATGAATCCTTACATACAAAAATTACTTTACAAAAATGTTTTTCTTTGTCCAATGAATGCTTTTCAGTTGTTCTCAAACAGCTTATGTTCTTTGGTAGCAGATTGCTAGGAATCGTCTTAAGGAAGAGGAGGCAGATGAAGAGGAAGAGGAAGAAGATGAAGAATCTGAAACCACTAAGGAGGAAAGATAGCTTTTGCCACAACAAAACATTCCTCAAATTAAAAATACTAATTGTATTTACATTTCATGTTAAGACATCATAAGGACAGCCATTAAAATTACTGCAAAAATGCATTATTTTGACCACCTTATGATCTCTTAATAGTATATGTACAAAAAGTTGCTAAAATTGAGATATTTTTTAAAAATCACAAAGGATTCACAAAGTTTCCTGGTTGCTTTTCAAAACAGATATTTCCATTGATTATCTACTAACACAGGGAATGAAGTATATGTTCATATTTATTTAACAATGTAAGCAGTCATCCCCTTGTAACCAAATAAAATGACCTTCATAAATTCCTTTGATGCATTATAGAATCCATCCTGTCAAAACATCTAAATTTGCTTTGGTCTGTACATAATGCTCAGCTTACAACTACAATTGAGCCCAAAATTCTGTTGATAAACAAGACAATTACTGAGTTCTGCCTCATTTTATTTTCCCCCCATTTGTTAAGTGAATCACTGCAGTTGTTATGTGAAACATGCAGTCATTAAGCGAATCTGGCTTCCTCCATTGACTTTGTTGGGAGCTGGTTGGAAAGGTTATAAATGGTGATCACATTATCCCGAGTCAGTGTAACTGTCATAAATACACGCCAAGTTACCATGTGTCCATGGGGATGCTGCAGTGGTTGTAAGAGTGAAAACTAGTCATGTCACTTTTCAGTGCCATTATAACCTTGAACAGTCACTAAACACATGGTTGTAAGTTTAAAAACAAGTTATATCAGAAAGATCTTGATCGTTAATTATTTCCAGCACTATCTTCCAGCATGCCATATAACTGGAGAACTGTCAGTGAAACCTGAATATAATTTTCTCTGCCCATCCTTAGCCAGATTCTTCCCCAGAATCTAGTCTCTGGTGTTTAACTGAATAATCATATTTGATTTGCAATAGAAGTGTGAGTCAGTATTAAATGGTTTACACCTTTCAGCATTTTATGGTATAGCTTTTAGAATTCTTGTGAATTTTAGTCAAAATTCACATGACTTTAGAAGAAAAATGGGATTTAATTTTTTTCTCATTTATAATTAGAATTAACACATTATGTATTAGCGATATTCTAATCCATTCTATTTAATTGTAGGTTATCATATTTTAAAAATAAAAAACGCTTTAAAAACATTAATATTTATATCCTGTCTTAGTGATTCTGAAACTGAAGCCCATAGCATGATGTTTTTAAACTGTACAAAACGCTAAGTTTGAAACCAAAGAGAATATTTAACTTCCATCAACTATAATTAAAATGCAGATGTGCAAAAACCTAAAACTGAACCATAATTTCTTTACCTCAGTAATTTAAGATCAATTTACACTGCACAATAGTGCCAAGAATATTATCTTGGAATACAATGATTGATCTTGCAAATCAATATATGACAAACTGCATATCCATACTGAAAAAAAAGCAGTTTTCTTTACTAATCATACTTGGAAAACATTTCCCTGGCTCAGCTAATTAGAGTAATAAATACTGCAAAGATATGTTGACTCCCTTTTATCGTGTCAAATACTATCTTTAAGAGAAAAACATAATTACTCAGAAGAGATGTGGTATATGAAATAAGATTTGTTGAATGTCATCCTGACATCCCATATATAAGTGTTCAACATTGCCTTTAACAATCTGATTAATACCTTCCAGATTATGTTTAATTCCCAAGCAAAATAGTTGACTAAATTTGATGAGAATTGTAGTTTAATACATTTGGAAGACAGACAGTTGGGAAAGACTTGCCTAATGCATACAAAGCCAAGTTAAAATGATGCTGCAGCTGCAAGTACCCACGATAAGAAAAAAATGCCCTTACAATGCATGTAGATCAACTTGAAAATGTTTCTGAAGTTGTTTTAAATACTGGATACTTTTCAGCTGTCATTTCCTTTTTCTCCCTACCACAATACTTAAAAGAATGTGTTAAGTATATAGTATTATATACTATATCCATGATGGTGAACCTATGGCACACGTGCCCAAAGTGGCATACGAAGCCATGTGGCTCGGCATGCACAGCCTTGCCTGTTTGTCTTCTGGGTTTCTGACGCACATGTGTGCGTGACCATCAGCTGTCCTTCATGCGCACAGCAATGCCGAAAACTGGTGTGTATGCATGCCAGCCAGCTGATTGTCAGGTGCACTAGAACCCGGAAGTTCGGCTTTTCCGGAGCATGGTCCTATTTCCATGCAACCTTTTCGGCACTTGGTGCCAAAAAGATTCGCCATCACTGTACTATATAGTATAGAATGTTACCCAAGGATAATACTATTGCCAAATTAATAGAAAATCTAGATATGAAACAAAATTATAGGGGTATACAGGGGTATCACAATAAGTTGCATTCTTTAGACTATACTATGCAATATTTTAAAATTGTGCCTGCTCCTATAAAACTTAATTTATAAAATCATTACCTATGTTCATATCTGCCCAATATAAAACTTATTAGAATTGAAGATATTACTGCTATGAATAAACAATGCATCAATGACCCATCCACATATTTCAGTGCATGTACTTTTATTTTAAAAGAAAGGCTGAGCTGACAATAACAAAACCATTCAAGCTATCACTGAGAATTAACAATGGACAAGAATCCTATGGATTTAAGTTAATATATACAAGGATGACACAACCTATGCTTTTGAACAACTCTGAAAATACAATGTTTTACATCAAACCATATTTAGATAAACTGCAAATATACATGCAGAAGAGGGATGAAATACATGTCAAATTTCATAATTCAGCTATGCATATTTTAAAGATAACTTGGCAGAACTATGAGGTTGATCCATTATTTTTAAAAAATCAATTAAAAATGCTGCAATTTAAAAATTAAACAATGCTTTATAATGCTTAACCTTTTGGGGTTTCTTCATTTTCCAAGTAAAAAGTTGTGAATTATAATGAAATAATACTGTATATTTATTCTACCTCATTTTCATCTATACCAAGGTTAATCTAACTTTGCGCTGGCCTATTGGCCTATCGTTCAGTTCATTAATAGCAGCCTCTGCCTCTTTGTAATTTATTAGAGCAATGATTGCTTCACCAGAAAACATTCCATATTCATTGTGCTGAACAGAAAGAGATTCTGGTATAATTTTATAGCCATGGAAAAAATCCAGAATTTCATTAGGAGAAGCTCGAAATGGTATATTTTTTAATTTGATCAAAGTTACAGAATCTGAGCCACCATCAAAGTTAGAATCAGGCACAAAGCGCCTATCAGAAAAATTTCCAGGAATACCATCACCAAATTCTTTAAATTGGGGAGGACCTCTATCAGATGAGCAGATATAATCATCGGACAGGCTTCTATAGTCACCTTCATGCACAGAGGGTCCTTCTGAATCAACAGAGTAAAAGTTTTCATCTCTTTCATGACTATGGTGATGCCCTTGCATCTTTTCATTAGATGCTGATGAAATATTTATACCAAACTCTTGCATTTGTTCCTCGGGTATACATCTTAAGAGTACCTCTGTCCCCAAAAAGCATCGGCGATTTAAGCTTTCAGCTTTTCGGGCCTGATTTTCTGTCCTGAATTTAACTAGTGCTTCTCCCAGTCCAACTCCTTTGTCATCATAAAGCAAATAAATGTCATTGTCATCAATGTTAAATCCTGCAAAGAATTTTTGTACTTCAACATTTGTCACATCAAATGGAAAATTTCTTACATACACACATGTCTTTGAGCCAAGGTAGCCATCTTGATTATTTTTATCCTTTACATGGCGATATCCTTCTGGTGATCTTTTAACTTCAGAAGACCCAATTGCTTCTTCCACTCTTTTTTTGGAAACAGGAAAAATGTAAACTTGTCGTCCAAAAAGTTCAAGCTTGTGATAAGTCAAAGATGCTGTATATGCTTCTTCTGATCTGAGTGTAATAATTGCATCCTTGTTTCTTGCCTTATAATGAGCTTTTAGAAAAGTAATGTCCTTGTTCATTAAAGTTAGCGCCTCAAAGAACACCCGCAAGTCCTTCTTTTTAACAGCAGCAGACAGATTTTTAAGATATATGTAATATTCCTTGCTCTGAGGTGAATGAGACTGGCTTGGACCAGAGAAAGGTGAATGAGAATGGGTTTTAACCCTCCTTGGAGACCTTGAATGAGTACGTACTGTGATCCTCCTTGGAGAATGTGAATGCATAGGTTCCATGACCCTCCGTGGTGGTGACTTTGAACCATTGCGTGCTGTGACCCTCCGTGGAGGAGATCTTGAGCCAGTGTGTGCCATATCCCTCTGAGGAGATCTTGAAAAGGCATGTGCCATAACCATTTGTGAAGGAGATTTTGAATAGCTGCATTCCGTAATCCTCCATGAAGGAGATCTTGAATTAACCTGTGATACTACTCTACGTGGTGGAGTTCTGGATCGGGTACGTTTCCTTGAAGGCAAATAGTTTGGCTCTTTTTTTGGATGTTCTGTGTTTGAAAAATATTGTCCTTTATTCAAATTATGTTGAAAGTGGAAAGAATTATCTATCTCCTCTTCTATTCTGCCACCATATTTAATCCATGTTCCTTCACTGGAAGGACGTACTTCTATAAACCGTGAACCCATATAATTCCTATCTCGTTGCAGTCCTTTCATGGCATCACTTAATGTAGCAAATTTGACCAAACCATCTCCATTGATTCGACCATTGGATTTTAACATAAGTATCTTCTCCACTTGTAATCCAGAAAAGAAATTGAACACATCGTCTTCTGTTGAAGAATAAGGCATACCACGTATGAATAAATATAACCTATCAGATTTAGATGTTTCGTCCCTAGGCTGGTTAAAATTCGATTTTGAAATATTTATATTACTGTTTCGAGAGCCACTAGAATGAAACTCATCCTCCAAAGGAACTCTGGAATCATGGCTAGATTTACCAATTCCCTTTTTAATGACTTGAACTATATTTGAAAGGTTGCCAACATCATGTGTTCCAGAATGATTAGGACCTGTCCGCCTAGGTCCTCCTCCTCTTCCACCACGATCAAATCTCTTCCTATTAATTTCTATTATGCTCTGCATTTCTGCCTTGCTACTAAGATAGAACTGTATACGTGAATCCTTGATAAATCCTCCTGAATAGCTCATTGCTTGTCTGGCATCTTCATCTGTTGCAAATATAATAAAAGCTTCCCCCTTTTCTCCTCCAATAATATGTACACCTCCATCAGGAATATTCAATCCTGAGCAGAAACGACGAATATCTGCAGAACCCGCAACAAGAGGAAGTCCCTGTAAACGGATGACTACAGCCATTTTGAGCTCAACCCACAGCAATAATCACCTGTGGACAAAAAGGCATACATGATAACAAGCCTTTAGTATACTGGAAGAATGCTAGGCCTACTCTACACCACTTAAACAAAAATCCTGACATTGAAAGAATAATGCCTACATTTCAAATCATACAACCTAATTTAATCTGAATATTTATAAACACTGGCCAGTCTGAAATAAGTATACAGTTCCCAATAATAATCTCAATCATAAAAGCACCAATGTCATTCATAAAATCTATGATGAAAGGTATCAAAGCTTTCACAGCATCTTATAAAATCCAGTAAAAGAAAACATCTTGTTTCCCATTATCTGACATCCTGAATTACTTTGATCAAAAAGATGTCATATCACTTCCAAGCAATAATAAAGTTTAAGCTTTTTCTGCCAGGCCAGCTCATCTCATAAAGAATTAATTTCAGTAACTTTTTCTCCATGTTTATTCTTTCCTATGATTAGACAGCCAACTGTACATCTTCCTTTGCAGTCATCAGCTTGGGAAAAAAGCCATCAAATCTGACAATACAAATATCAAGCTTTCAGAAGCTTACCTGGTTCTTCTTGGAAGGCCTGATAAAGGCTGTGAAATCAACTGTGGAAAGAAAATGAAACAAAATTAATGGCCAAGAAGCAGATTTACATTTTAAGCCACATTCAGTGGGATATCCAGAACCATGGTGAACATTAACAACCCAGTAAGAAATAAAAAATAATAAGTTGTTCCGTTTCTTTCCTATTCCAGAGACGTACCAAAAAACAAAACAGGATTTGTGAATTTCAATTGTATATCTGGTTTTTCACATGTTTTGAGAGTTTCATTATGCTCTCTACTTAAACTGATGTCAGCAACAGTGATATGAGATTTATCTTCAAAATTTTGATACAGGTAAAAAAATCTGATTAAAAATATTCTTTTCCTTAATGTCCTCAGTCCTTGAAAGTTCCACATTAAAAAGCAAGTGTCCAGTTCTTCTAACATGCTTTTTCTTTTAAAAAAAAATAGCAGAATGTTCATCAAAAATTGAATAAGTGACCAAATTAATGAAGCATACACAACTTCAGAAATTCCAGGAAAACATATTGATGATATACCAATTTCCCCATAATGCTTGCTGTGCCAATATGAATCCAGAGAAATCCAGTATGTTAGAATAACTTTGAATTTAGAAGATAAGTACCGTACCTTGCAAAGGTAGAAGTATACGTGTAATGACTGTGTGCAGAAATAGATTTATACAGCACTTGTAATATCCATATTTCACAAGTTTCCAAAAAAAGAAAATAACAGAAAAAACACAGTACAAACCTATATAACCTTAGAGAAGGTCCCACTAAGCTTATCAAAGTCCACTTACAAATGTACACAGTACTGTAGTTTCAGTATCAAAAACCTATTACAATATCGAATACATGGAAGGAAATATGTTCGATTTAATATTCTATTAATAGAATATTAATATCAGAACCAAAATCAGATATCTGATGAACAAAAAGATTTAAGACTGTAAACAATTAGACCAAACAAATAGACCAAACATTTGTTATCTGTCATTAAGCTTAGAACCAAACTTTCTCCACATCCTCAAACGTATGGCACATCCATCTTTCCTTTTAAAGACCTTACATAATTTGTAAGGGCCAATCCATAAGTAGTTTCTACATTTCACTGAAAACAATGGCAACTAATCTGGGGACATGAATAACAACTTGTTCAAAAGCTTACATCAACAATTTATAGCTTTCATGCAATGCTAGCTAGCCAGCTACAACTGTTACTAACATTATTGGGCGGCTCAATTTTTCCCCTGAACACAAGTGAATAATAAACAACTAGATCTAACAAAGAAAGACTGATAGCATTATATCCTGTCCTTTATTTCCAAGAGGCCTACTGAGCGATGAAAAAGCCTTCAGGAATCCCAACTGAAGTAAAATTAACAATTATTAAAATTTCAATTCCTGATTGTCAAGTAAACCAACTCATATACATTAATCTGGTAACAAGAGGAGAAAAAACATATCAAACAAGGAGTTCAGTAATTCAGTACAACTTATTTCTGAGCAGTACCCTGTTCGTAAGCTTTAAAACACCTTCTAAAAACCAACTGAATACTGTAGTTAACCACATGCAAAAAAGAAAAACACCTCCAACCCTCTATGGACCAGTTCATATTATACAATTCCGTACACAGGATGAATGTCAGATGAAGTGGTTTATTTATGTTTTTTGCAGTTAAAATATACGCTCTGCATTTTATTCTTCTGTAGTTCATATGTGAATTTGAGCAAGCAAGCATGGATTCCTGTTAAAACAGGCACATTCATTCCTATCCATTCAATGACTACTGCTGGAGTAGTGGCTGGTTGAACTCTTTTTTCCCAGGAAGGTAGTTGCAAAGATGTATTCCTCCTAGAAAATTGCAGAGTACCAGAAATCTGGAATATGAGGCATGATTTCCGTGATTGTAATCCTGGTAGAAAAAGACATTGCAAAAAGACCAGGTGGGGTGAAAAAGCATGTCTTCTCTCTAGCAATGATCAATACCCATACAGTTATGTTGACTAAGATGCCATCAGAAATACATATCGTGATGGAAATCAGCGGGTGGAACAAGCTGCGACTCCGGAGTTTCTTCATCTCGTACAGGGTCTACATACAAATTCGGTTTCTAATATCATCCAATTCTCTTCCTCGGGAAAACGTTCGGAATGATCCAATGTTCTCAGGGAAAGCGCCATTAAACCAGCGAACGAAAAGACAAGAACTACGAGGCCTTCCGTAGCGTGTTCCATCCTGAAAGAACCAGGGCGACCATTTCCAAGCACACCAAACAGTCTTTCTTTCTTTCTTTCCATCCCCGTCCTAAACAGGGAAAGCATTCGCTTCCGGCGAATTGTTTAAAACGCCTCAATATTTTATCAAAACACTGAACAGCAAAACGCCTCAGCATCACCATCCCTGCAGCAGGAGCTGCCCGCGTTTTTTCCCCACCCCTTTATTTACACAACACCGCTTGCCGGCCTCAGTCGGCCTCTCTGCTCAGAGCCCGACGCGAGAACACGGAATGCAAAGTGCGGCCTAGACGCTCCTGTCGAAAGCCAGCAACCCCCACAAACACATTCGCACACATTCGGACACCCGTTAAGAATGACCCGCTCGCCTTTCATTTTTACTAACCAGGCCCCTGGGAGTCGAATGAGGCCTCGAAAGAGCCTCAGTTCCGTTAATTTCCCGCGGGAAAGAGGAACAGAAACCCGCGCTTGCTTTTAACAGGTTATGAGGCAAACGCCGCGGCCTCTTCCCCTCTGCACTCGGCCGCGCCAATCTCTCCAGGCGTCCGTCAGGAAAGCGGCTGCGGGCGTCTCGCCCTCTCAAAAATTACAATGCGGCCCCCCCCCGCTTCGACCTCCCGAAGCGAGAAAAGACCGATCCGCAATAGACAAAATGGCAGCCGCGCTTCCGCTCCAGCTCCCTGCGTCCCACCTCAGCAAAGCCATCGAGCGCGACTTTCCGCGCGCAGGCTCAGAGTGGTACTTTAAAAACGCATGCGCCGTGCCCCGGAAGTTCAAAGTTTGGTCGGGCATGCGATGTGCCTCATCGTTTCCGATGGCCGCTAGTGCAATTTTTTTTCACGTGTTTAAAAAAAAAAACCGTCAAAAGTTTTGTAGAAAGGAAGGGCGGGAGGAGTGCAAATTTTGTTAGCAATCCGATGGCGTTTTGCATTGGACTCGAAAATTTAGCATAATATAAAGTCCATTTGGCCTCCTAGAGTTTTCTTAACTACAAACTCAGAATTTTTTTAAAAAAAATTTTTTATACAAGTTATTTATACAAGTAACGTGTAACGATGTGGATAATGCCAGCATCCTGAAAACCAAAGAGCTTTGATTTCAAATAGGTTAATGATTTCATGTGACTGATTTTTATCTCCCATTTTAATGCAGTGCTGTTCTCTATATGTCTATGGAGATTCTCAGTCACCCAGGTCACGGTTGTCGGAAAGGTGTTTTTTCAAGATGCAAATGCAGGGGTGAAATCCAGCAGGTTCTGGAGAACCAGTAGTGGAAATTCTGAGTAGTTCGGAGAACCGACAAATATCACCTCTGGCTGGCCCCCGAGTGGGAAGGGAATGGAGATTTTGTAGTATCCTTCTGAGTGGGGTGGGAATGGAGATTTTGCAGTATCCTTCCTCTGCCACACCCACCAAGCCACATCCACAGAACCGGTAGTTAAAAAAATTTGAATTTCACCACTGGGCAAGTGGAATTTCTGGGTTTTTTTGAAGACAAGAAACTTGCAAAACGTCTTCAAAGAAAAACCGGGAAGTCCATTTGCCTCTTGAAAAAGCACCTTCTCTGTGTTTCAATATGCATGAAAAAATTAATTTCATTGATATTTTTGAGCTTAAATAGTATTGTGATATATATTGATGATGGTGGTGATGATGATGATGTTATCCATTCAGACATGTCTGATTCTTGGCGATTATATGGGCCAGGGGTCTCCACATTTTCCGATCACTTGTTAAAAAAGACAAACATTTCCAATCATTTTCTGTACATAAGAACGTCTAACATCCAAAGTGATGAAGCAATCAATCATGTTATTTCAAAACTAGGTAGTCCTCAACTTATATTTACAGTTGGGAACAAAATTGCTAAACAATGTGCGTGCTAAGTGAGTCAAACCTCATTTTTCCAACCTTTTCTGACAGGGTTGTTAAGCAAATCACTGCAACTGTTAAGTGAATCATGCGGTCATTAAGTGAACCCACCTTTCCCCATTAACTTTGCTTATCAGAAGCTGACTGACAAGGTCAGAAATGGCAATCGTGACCATGGGATGCTGTAACCATGATAAATACATACCAGTTGTCAAATGCCCAATTTTTTACCATGTGACTATGGCAATGATGCAACAACTGAAAGTGCGAAGAATCACTTTTTCAATGCCATTATAACTTTGAACAGTTATGAAATGCATGGTTGTAGGGGAATTCAACTCATCTGGAGGTTTCAGTGTCCAAGTGTGCAGTTACATTTTCCAACTGGTTAGAAAATAATTTTATATTTAAATTTATAATATTACAATAAGCATTTTTATCATTTGTAAAATGCATTTTTTTAAGTGTGTTTTAACAAATCGATTTTGTTGATTTTGACAGTTGCAGCAGCCTAAGAAATAGATTCAAAATCATTACCTGAAAAATGTGTTACTGAAAAACACTGTGAAGTACTTAATAAGTACATAAAAATGTGACTTCAGCAACAGAGTGGTCAATGCCTGGAATACACTACCTGACTCTGGTTTCATCCCAAACCTCCCAAAATTTTAACCTAAGACTGTCTACTGTTGACCTCACCCCATTCCTAAGAGGTCTGTAAGGGGCATGCATAAGAGCACCAGTGTGCCTATCGTCCCTGTCTTAATGTTTCCTCTATTTGTATCTATTTTATGTATTCAGTTCATGCTTATACTTATATATATTACCTAATATGTTCTTGACAAATAAAATAAATAAGTACAAAGAATTATTGAAAACTACTGTTCAAAGATTATTACACCAAAAAGACCTGTGAAATGAAAGCTAAATTTAATAAAATTTTGCAACTATCCAATTTAATCATATCAATGATGTCCTAATACTTACTATCATCTGTATAAGTGATGTTGACAATGTTTTTTTTTAATTTAAGATCTCATAGGTAATAATATATGCACTACACTCTCAAATACTCAATTAAATACTGTTAATACTGTTTTTTAAATGCAGTATTTTGTTTTAATTCAACAAAAATAATAACATGGGGGAAAGAAGTGCAGATTATGATCTAATTTTCATGGACTGCTATTCACTCATCAAATGATTGAAATGTAATCTTCCAATGCAAGGATTCCATTCAAAATTGAACCACCTTTCGTTGAATGAGCCGCAGGACCTCGCGATACTTTTACTGAATATAGAGACGGAGAAAGTGGTCCTGCGTCCGCCTGTGATTTTGTTTTTTTAACCCTAATGGCGCTCCGTAGTTCGCGTTTCAAACCCGCCTTTCCAACCAGGCTTAGGGAGCTCTCGATGGGGTGGGCGGGGTCGAAGCTTCAGTAGCCATGGCGACGCTGCGGCGGTGGCTTGCCGCGGCGCTGGTGATGCTCCCGTTGAGCGCGGGTCGCGGCTTCTTCCTCCCCTTGCGCGACCCACAGAGCTGCACTGCGGCTCAGTACTTCGATATCGCCAGCTTAGACTGCAAACGTTGCGGGGAGTTCCAGAAGCAAAGCGCTCAGGGTGAGACTACCTGAAGGTTCAGCCTGATGGAGGGTGGAGCTTTTTAAAAGGTCGATTCGGAAAGTTGCACTTAATTCAGTGGATCTTCTCGAACATAAGTGCATGTAGAATTGCAGGTTCATTTATTTCCCCAAAAGAGCAGATAGTTGTGCTTGGCTCACCCTAGCATCTTTTGGACATTTTGTAACTAATGGGCAGATCAGGAAGAGTAGCTGCTCCTTGTCATTGGATCACCTCCAGGGAAAATAATGCATATAACCACAGGGAGAAATTAAGCAAGATGGTGAAATTGCTTTAAAATGTGTTTATGAACAAGCAAATTGTTTGTTTGTTAATAAAAGGACAAAACCCCACATAATTGTGAACAACAAGCCTCCAGTTCTTGCTTCATGCTGAGGGTGTGTGAGTAAATAGAAGGTGCCATATATTTTGCTGGAGCTAATTCTTTTGTGCAGTCATTCCCTGTCCAGACAGAGAAATACTAAATGCTGGGATTATTGGGCAAATGACCACTATTATTCTCTCTGGATGATGGCCAGGCAACCTTATTTAGTTCTGGAGATTGCAGATGGGTGGGTGGAAAGATTACGTGTATATATTTACATTCACACATTCTTACATTTAAGCCCTATCTTCCATTAATCTTGAGCATTATATTTGGAAGGAAAAGGAAAGCAACTTTTCCCAACTGCTGTTAAACTGTAGATTCTTTCTATGTGAAATAAAGGTGGCCTCTGGGTAGAAGGGGAGAAACTTAATCCCCTTTCCATCTATTGATTCATCTCAATATCAGTGGATTCCCACTAGTAGTGAAGGACAGTGAAAACCCGCTAAAGGCACCTTGTTAAGAACATTTCAAAAGCTGATTCTGTCAGTTCTTTCTGAATTTTTGGGATCTCAAGATTGCCTCTTTTTTCAGGTTTGACTGTAGTATTGGAACCTGCTATAGAATACCTACAGTCAAGCCAACATGCTACCAGGAAAAATGAAGATTACTTTAGAAAAATGATTGCTATTTATTTCTTTAATTTATATAGTCATCCAACTTTTAATTGCTTCTCTGGACAATGAACATAAAATATTTAAAACCAATGAAAACAGAAATAATAATAAACATAATAAAAATGGTGCACTGGACAGAGAACTTTTAAAGAGTATTTCAAATGCAGGTAGTCCTCAACTTATGACCACAATTGAGCCAAAAAATTAAGTTGCTAAGCGAAACATTTGTTAAGTGAGTTTTGCCCCATTTTACGACCCTTCTTGTCACAATTGTTAAGTGAATCATTGCAGTTGTTAAATGAGAAACACGGTGGTTAAGTGGCTTCCACATTGACTTTGCTTGTCAGAAGGATCGCAAAAACTTACCATGTGACCCTGAGACACTGCAACCATCATAAATATGAACCAGTTGCCAAGCATCCAAATTTTGATCACATGACCAAGGAGATACTGCAACAGTCATAGATGTGAAAAATTGTCATAAGTCACTATTTTCATTTCTGTTGTAACTTTGAACAATCCCTAAATGTAAGTCAAGGACTACCTGTAGTTGACATATCTTATTGGCCAGGAATACCAGTAAGCTACCTTTATGATTTGTCCTCATATTTTTCCAGAATACATTGTTCACCAGAAAACCCAGCATAACTGTTGGAAGGTTCCTTAAAAACTTTTGAAGGCAACATAGGTAGAGAAATTTGAGAGATCTCTTTCAGTCAAATCCATATTAAAGCAAATATTTTAATTTGAAGCAGATAATACAACAAGGTATTGTATATTTTTCAGGTACATCATGTGATTGTCTTCCAGGATTCAAAAAAGTTTTTGATAAAGGTGGAACATCTATTATGTGTGAAAAATGTCCAGAAACGATGGTAAAATCAACCTAAAATATTTTTTATTAGAAAAAGTAGGTAGAATAATTTTATTTTTTTCTATGTTACAAGCTTCAAAGTGAGTTTTAAATAAGTTTAATCTTTCATTTAGAATGGAGTTACTCAAGATGGATGGGACTGCATTACTTGTCCTAGTGGCTTAACTATAGAAGGAAAATGTATATGTGCTAATAATGAGATTCTAGGTAAGAATTTTACAGTTATTTTATGCTTATTTGTTTAGAATAGAATAGAATAGAATAGAATAGAATAGAATAGAATAGAATAGAATAGAATAGAACATAACTTTATTATGG